TAAGGCCTACAGGCCTGCGAACCCCCCTGCTCCAGACCCCCCTGCTCCGGGTCGGGTTCACCCGGAGGCTGGGTGGAAGGAGGCTCCGAAGGAACAAATGAGATTAAAGTGAACTCTGCGAACGTGCTGGCCAAAACCGGCTCGGTTTGTTTTTCGTGATGTCACTTCTATTTTAAAATCCAAGTTACAGAAACCATTTACAGTGGACTTTAACAAGACTGTAGTTTCCTGCGGGCAAGATATTTCTAAAGAGTCACTCCTGTTAGGACCCCAGGAAATTGTGTTCTTAAGTATACTAGAAATTTCTGGGGGGTGAATTTTTGAAAGAAAATTGGAAGCTAGCTGCTTTTAGAATCTTATGCATTTTAAAAATACACTTTCAGAGAGGAGAAGACAAAAATATTTTAACTTGTAGTTAAGAGGTGTGTGAAAGTTGCTTGACAGTCTTTCAGGGGATGATTGAGATAATTATAAAATGGCCTAAAGTAAAGTTACTGCTATCTTCTAATTTCTTTAGTTGTTCATTGATTTCTCAGGTGAAGGAATAATGGCAAGATTTCTGTCTTTGCGATGTCCAGCAGCATATCTTCATTTCTGATTTTTCAGCTTCTCTTCTGCTTAATAAACAGAGAATTGAAAGTTGATTGGAAGTGGTGGCTTTGTTTCCATTTCCCCAAATGTTTCTTATGCAACTCTGAAGTTGCTAGAGTGAAGAACTTAGCTTACCTTATAGTTATATATCTGAAAAAAGAATACTAGTCCTTTTGACTTTTAACGTCAAATTAAATGTATGTAATGTTTTCATGGTAAAGCTAAGAAGGATACTTAGAAGAAAACTAGCTCCGCTCATCAAAAAAGTGCAAAGTATTTGCAAAGCCAAAATTGATGGTTACAGTTTTGCCTACAATTTTGCAGTAAGATGTGCCACAAACATTCACGGTCTAAATAACTGCTCCTTCTAAAACCTTTTCATTTGTTACGCATGTATCTTTCTCTAAGCTGCACTGCTACAGTGAGTGATGGAAAGCAAAGAGTACCAAATGCATTTTAATGGGAGGTGAAGGGGCTTGTTTGATTAGATTAGGGCTTCAGCTGGCCTTTATGCCCTTTTTAGGCAATGAGAATTCCTGACACCATGTTTTAAAACCTGATTTTAGCACGTTATATCCGAGTATCATGTATGCTGTGGTTTCTTTTGTGGGGTATGTTTCTGAAAGTCATTACCAAGATGTTTCTATGTAACATGCTAATCGGTGCTATCATCATAACTTTTTAAAGGTGTCTCAAGTTAAGTGTGCTTTCATATTTTAAATAGTACTTTTGATTGATAGGTATTAGAAAATGTGTCCAAAACTCTTTAAATTTAATTTGCCAGGCCACACTTGATTCTCTTCCTCTTGCTGGAGTGAAGACTCAGTTACAGAAATAGTGGGTTTTTTTGCTCTGCTGCTTTATTTTTCACTTTCTTGTGAACACTGTAGCTCAGGATTTGAAATGGCTACTTTGATCATATTATAAAAACAAGTAAGGCTAAGGGCTATGACCTGTACATTAATTAACGTATTATAAAAGATGAGTAGTTTTCCAATGTAAAACATACCAATGCAGTAAATAAAAGGTAACTAATTCTGGCTGACAGCATTTTACAGCAATTCATGGAGAGGAAATACAGCCTACATGAATGTAATGTACGGTTATGCAGTGCTACTCTCCGTCAGAGTAAGGGCAACATTATTCTGCAGTATGCTAACTATTCTGCTTCTTATAATTACCCATTAAAACTACACCTTTTAATATTTGAATGCAAATGGACATGCAGAAATGTGGGAAATAGCAGCGTGCTGACGTAGGACTCAGAAGGTGCAGCCTGGTCACAGACAATGCTGCATAAGTGGCTGCAGGAAATGTTTTTCTCTTATGATAGTGTGTAATGGCTTAAACTGTAAGGAAGAGGAAAACATTAAAGCTCTAGGAATGAGATGTTTGCATGCAGATTGGGCGGCAACTGCTGCAGCTATCAGCTAATTGTCCTTCAGCTGTTACGCACCTGAAGAAACAAAACCCATGAGACTCTGAGAACTGTAGGAGGTGGCATGCTAGACCATAGAGACACTCCTTTGGTTACCTTTGGAACATGGCTTTGAAAAACATAGGTGTGCTACCCTCTGTATTTTCTGCAGCCATTAAATTGTTCTCAGCTCTGAGGCCTCTTGCAAAAGGTCCAAGCTCTTCCAACATGATTGGTTTCAGTTCAGAGGAAGCCAGACACCATTCTTTTGACGTAATTTACCATGAAATTGAGAATCCCTCCTGGTTTTTGTTGCATTCAAGAGAACTTTACCTAAGTTGGTAGTTCAGCTTTGGAATTATGTACTATTGATGTCAAATGTGGTTTACAAGTAAGCTCTAGTGTTTATATCAGTAATATTTTTTTAAAAGCAGACGTCCTGAAAATAGCTGTAAATATATTCCTTATTCAGGTGTAGATGTTTGTAGGAATTGTAAATTTACCGTTCTTGCAAAGGCAATTGTTAAAGACAGATTTACTTTACAGGTAAACTTGACTGAATGACGTGAATGAACCTTTACGTACTCATGTCTGTCTGTTCAGGGTCTCTGAATTAAAATATCACCATATGTGACGGCCAGGGAGACCTTTCTTGATGTAAACAACTGAGGTGAAGGAATCCTGTAAGCAGGATTCCATGATATAGCATGTATATATGGCCCTTCTTTTCCTTTTACTTAAGAGGCAATAAATTTAAATTGATCTTGTTTTGAAATACAGTGTAAGTGCAGGTTTGAAGTAATGCAGTTAGTATATGTGGTGTGAGCGTCTGAACTGGAATGTGGGCTATTAGAGAACAAATAACATTTGCTGTATGTCTGATCTGCGTTGAGCATTTCTATAGAGCTGAGAAAGGGGTTAGGGAGGCTAATGAGCCTGAATGTATGGATCTAGCTTTTGCTCCTCAAATACCTTACACTCTTGATCACTTACAGAGAGTCATTGAAATTACCTTTTTTGTGTGTGTGTGCTCAACTTGAAGCTAGAATTTGGCTGAACAAAAGGAAAATCCCAGAACTTCTTACAGAAAAAATGAGAGAAGCCAACTTGTCTGCTTCAACACTGTCATGATTAACTGCTTTTTCCAAGCCAAATGCTCAAAAATTGTGACTGTTAGAAAAAAGGTTCCCTGTGCTCTCCTTGTCTGTGCGAAGTACTATATAGACTGTACATCTTTTGAAGGACCCCAATTTCCTCTAAGTATAATATTTAGTGAGCACTTATGCAGTCTGTTCTGTATGTTTTTTTTTTTTTTTTTCTGGTGGTAGGATTGACTGGAGTGCTGCTGCTTAGGAGCTGTATTCCCTAAGCCTTTCATCAAGGTATTTTGATTTTCCTCAGACAGAACAGAATGTTGCTTCAATGGTAGTGCTATAATTAACTTGGAGGCAAACTTCCTTTGTTCCCTCTGTAGGTAATGTGCAGGGATATGAGTCAGTAATACCCAATTAACTTGTTTGCAGTGAAGTTCTCCTTTACTGACCTCAAACAGCAGCAGCAACAACAAATGTAAAGCATCTTAACTCTTCTTTTGACTGCAGTATCTGTAAAAACTGATGGCGTCAAGCCAGACTAGGTACAATTGGTATCTCCTCCTTCCCACCCCACAGCCTGCCCTGCTCTGTGGGAATTACGGCCTTGGAGTTTTTGTTGAGAAAACTGGGTACTGGCATTCATCTGAAAATACATATAGTTTAGTTATTGATGGAAAAGGGCGTGGCAGAATGGGATTTTTGTCAGTGAAGCAGCAGGGTGTAGACAGCTTCCAAGTGCTGTTTGTCATAGAATAACAGATAGCTATGAATACTGATGAAAAGGCTTTCCTTTCAGAGATGTATTTGGAGGTTGAAGATGCTTTGTAGTTGGGATATTTACCTTGCCTGTGGTTACTTCTTTTAAAAACTTTTTCTTTTATAGATCTGGTTAAGAATAAGACTTGGGCTTTGAAGTGTTTGAGCAACAAGTGTTTGTGCTACTGCCCAAGTCATGACACTCCCATTTCGAAAGGACTTGGACAAGTACAAAGATCTTGATGAGGATGAAATTCTTGGCAAACTTTCAGAAGAAGAACTGAAACAACTGGAAACTGTTTTGGATGATCTTGACCCTGAGGTAGGTATTAGCCAAAAGAAGTTTTATTTTTTCATTTGTTCAGAAACTAGTCTGAAATAAATCGAGACTCTTTTTTTACTTGAACAATACTTTTGGACAGAGATTTTTCCTAGTCTGATAATGATATTATTTACAGATATATATGTGTGTATAATGTTTCAACTGTTTATTTCCTGTTTGCAACGTGAATGCAAATGCAGTAGAGGAAAATGGCAGAAAGGATTGTCAGGAGGAGCTTTCTGGGATTTATTTCTAAATAAAAATTGCTCTTGGTCATGTTCTTGAAAAGAAAGTTTATTTAGAAAGGGCTGTCTAACTTTCCTGTTTCCAGTGTTGTCTGTTAAACATCCCTTTTGCATCTGTTTTTATTTTGTTGCTTCTACCGTTGGAGTTTGGTGGGAGAGGGAGGGTGCTAACCTCTTCTAAAGATTCCTGGTCCTGTATCTGGTAGCCTATATCTATTCCTGTCCTCGTGCTGCCTTTGCAAAGAGGAGGCAAATAATTACTCAGCTCCTGAATGATTATGTCAGTGTGGCGTATCGAATAAGAAATATTTTAGCTTTCTGTTATAAAGAGCTGAGTTATGTCCTCTACTGATACTGCAGCTAATGTCAGAGTCTAAGACTTGTGTTTCTACCTCCTGATTCTCTGTTCTTGCTTTAATAGGACTGGGATTAAGTTTAATCTTGATGTTCAGGGATCACTGAAGAATATTATGATCACCTATTTTGTTGCACTGCAACATATTCTCGATATTTTAATTGGCTTTGGTTTTATAGACATTTTAGCAGAGGAGAACTGGCAAAAGTGATTGGTTGTCTTTTATGGTAGTCTGAATTTCTATATGTTCTGTTCTTTCCATGCTAATATCCTCCTTTTTTTTTTTTCTTTTGTTTAGCTGAAACACATTGATGATAGCAAAAAACCACCTTGAATCAGGTCAAAAGTAGAAATGCTCTGTGTTAAATGCCAGGCAATAGTATAGACAGTTGTCTGAAGGACTTAGAAACACATGGATGTAAGTGATGGAGGAAGCAGTTGTCTTGCTGAATGTCTAAACTATAAATAGTTGAGTTTTATTTACTACTACTCATTTAAACAGTGTTCATTCTAGAAAAGAAATGCAAAGTGACTAGCAAGTCCAGTGCTGGGAGCTATTGTACTTAAAGAATTGCTTCAGTTCTATTCAGAGTGCAGTGTGCTCTATTTTTAAGTAGATTCTTGGTATCTAAAGAATAGGTTACCTAGTGTCCTCCCCTGCCCCCAAAAACAGGAGGTTGGCAAGGGATCAGAGGTTGCCTAAAAACAATGATGTATCAGGTTTGAACCTTGGGGAGAGGGAGAAGGAAGAGGGAAATGAAACTAAACAGGTGTTCACTCAGACTTTCTAAGCTGTACTTGTTTGCTCTGTTTTGTTTTGCAGAACGCACTTCTGCCTGCAGGCTTCCGACAGAAAGACCAGACTGCTAAAAAGGCTTCAGGTCCCTTCGACAGGGAACGACTCCTTGCATATTTGGAGAAGCAGGCTCTTGAGCACAAAGACAGGGAAGACTATGTGCCTTTTACAAGAGAAAAGAAAGGTAACACCACCCTTTCCGGTGTAGGTGGTTATGAAATCTCTGAAGTGGACTAGCCGGAACTACTGTGAACCAAAGTTTATTGAAGCAGTGGCAGCTCTAATGCTTCTTAACTCACAGTGTTTCCAAATGAGTGCTACTGTGCAGAGACAGGATGCTTCCTGTTCGAGCATTTTGTGGCGCTGGGGCTGGTGTGCTGTTTGCATGTAGCACAGGAAGGAAATAAGACTCAAAGATTTTATCAAAGATTGCAAAGTTCTGACAGGGATGATATCCTCAAACTAAGAGCTACCCATGATTTGTGTCACAAATAACAAATGCTGTCGTCGTGCCTGTGGCTTATGCCCTGTGGTGCTGAGTACAGACAGTAACATTTGTAATACTATGTTGAATTTAAAAAATGGCAGTAGAATGATGTTGTGGTTGATAGTCAGTAATGTTCAGAGACGTTGTAGGCTGACAAGGCCAGGCAAGTGGTTTATGCGATCATGTTGTCTTTCTAGTATCCTTACTGAGAGATTTAATAAGATTGCGTAGTTATTATTAAATAATTACATAGTTAACATCTCAAGAAGCTTTGAAGTCTGGCAGTGGTTTGTGGTCTAAAAACCATGGAAACATTGACCCAATGAGTGGACACATTAAAGCCTGGGAATTTTAAGTCTTTGTTTTGGATCTAGTCTTCTTGTTGACTTGATGGGAAGCCTTTTCCTTTTCAGGAGAAAAATTAAAAAATAATGTGTATCTTAAATATTAATTAATAAATATTGTAAGAATAGATATCCTCCCTTCCCCCGCAACCAGTTCCCAAATTCGTTGTAACTTACTAAGCACTATTGGTAGGGACAGAAGCTCCCAGTCCTGTGCTGGACACATCTGCATAGGAGGAGGCTTTTAGCTGTTGCCACAGTGTTTGTGTACTGCTTGTGAATCCTAGCTTGTCTGAACCTTCCCCTGCAGCAGGGCAGATCTGCTGCAGTTAGACTTCAGTAAATTGTTTTATAAGTTGTATTCCAACTGCCCAAGATGAAGAGTCTCCTCTCTTCTTAAAGGTTTGAAACCTTCTAATTCTACTTAATTCTCTGGTGTGAGTCATTGCTTATTTCAAACTTGAGTCTTCACTCATCTACTGAGTTTGTATATATGATTGTGATTGTGGTGTATATTCAGTGAAAATTGTGGTGGGGGTATTTGCATTTTCTCCGCCTGTAGCAGATAGCTGTTACTTGACAATGTTGGTCTCTCTCTTTTCCTTGAAGTAATAGAGAGATTGTGACTTTATAATGTGCTGCACTGTATATGATATTCTACTTCCTTACAAACACACTGTGTTTTGCCTTATTTGTGTGGTTTAAAATCACTTTTGTTGAGAGATGACAACTGTGACACTCCTTTGCTGACAGGAGAATGGGAGTTTGCTGTCTGAATCTGTAAAACAGAGTTAAAGATAACACAATGTATTGAATGTAGATGGCAGTCAAAGGTACCTATAGCAGCAGTACCCTTACAGTACCTCCACTGCTGGCAAGTACCTGTTAATCCCGTGTTTGGCTGTGTAGTGTGCTGCTGCTTCCTCCCCTGTTCTGCTTGTTGCCTCACGTATTTGCTAGTATACAGTGGAGACAGCCTAATGGTTTAACATGATTGAGCTAAAGTATATTTGGGCCTCGTGGCTCATTTGGGGAATCCCTTGCAGCCTGGCTAGCTTGTACACTGCTCCTTCAGGATATGAGGCTGGGCATGGAGGATTTGCTCTAGTTAGTACTTTTTCTACTGAGTACTAGTGCTTCGTTCAGATAGGTGGTTCTTGAAAGTTAGCTTACGTGTACATGCACATGGCAAAACTATTTGTTTTGGTAGATGAAATCTGTGAGAATCATGTAGAAAACCAGAAGGGTCCAGCTGTAATGCAGATCTTGGTTAAGAAAGATCAAATGTCATTTCCTTTATGTAATGAAGTATTACTAAATAGCCAGTCTGTCTGGATGTTGCAATATGTCATACCAGTTTAGTTAGTAAAATTTCCTGCATCTCTTTAAAAAAAAAAAAAAAGAGTTGCTATTTAATAACTTTTTCTACCATTTATTTTGGTACCATAGAGGAAAAGAAAATAATATGAAAAATTAAATGTAGCTTACTTTCATCAAAACTAAAAATATGGAAACAAATGTTCAGTATGGAAATTCATGCTCTGTTAAATGAGTGGGAGGAGGCAAGAAGGCTAAGCTCATTTTGTAGCAGGTGAGAAATAACCTTTTCCCCTCATGAAAATGTTATGGTTCAGCTTTGACTTGCTGCCATGTTTGTGGCCATTTTGTGCAAAAATCTTTTAAATCTTTTAAATCAAGAAATCATGATCTTTATCTAGATGTAAAACTTGGAAAGGGAGTGGAGCAAAACTTAATACTTGTGTAGGACATTTTTTATCTAGAGGTGGCTCTTATCCTAATGTGCTTTTCTTTAATATTAAAAAAAATGAAACAGATTACTAAGCTGGCTTAACTTTTCTCCTTGGCTAGATAAATGTATTATGGAGAAATACTGTCAAATTGTGGAATGGGGGTAGGTGAAGATCTTGCTTGATTATCCTGTTAATTCAGAAGAAAACTGACAGTTCTAACCATCAGATCTAGAGGTTTTGGGGGGAGAGAGAGGGATTGGAGTTGCAGCTATTTTCTTAGTGCCATTTTTGTGGGTCAGGCTTTGCTAAAATATTTCTGTGTGCCTAGCTGGTCTCATTGCTCTAACTTGGTCTAATTATTCATTTAATGGAGGAAGAAGGGGAAAACCTATCCTTCCCTTTCTCTTCCCTTTTCCTATTTTAGTAGAACTGATGTTCTGTGTGGCAATTTGGTCTGCAGGTTTATCAAAGAAGCTTACCCTAGGTTAATTTTAAACATCCTGGCTTGCTACTGATTCTGGTAACCTTGTTTCTGTACTACAGCGTAAAGGAAAATCCTCTTTTCCAGTTGTCCTAAGCCCATTTTTGGGTAGCATGTTATTAAAACGATGTTGCATCTCTTTCACTTGATAGATGACGTGATTTCGCCAAATCTTTGGAACTTTTTTTTCCTGTGTGCTATGAAATGTGGAAGATCTGAAATCATGTAAAGTGTCCTGATGTAGTGAGATGAACTAGTGCTAAAGAAATGTGAAGCTTAACAATTCCTAAATTACATTCTATTGCATTTTCCCAGTGCGTGATTTTGTTCGTAAAAGCATCCTTAAAAACATACTTTGTTTTTAAACACAATTTAATTGCTTAAGTCACATTCGGTTCCAATTAAGTGTTGAACCATACAGTAAACCATTGTTCAAGAGATTTATGAGAGCAATGTGGTAATAATTTCAACAAAACTAGCTTTGTCTCAGTCTGTACGTAAGTATGTCATAATGATTTTACAAGGCATCCTGAAAGGAGAAGGATCTCTCATCTAAACAGTAAAGCAAGGCTTCAGTGCTGGAGTCTGTTGCCCTTGAGTGTGTTCCACACATCTGACCAAGTCTGACCAATGCTCCTCACTTCTCTTGGAACAGCAAAAGATGAGAACTATTGCACCTGAGATAAAAACATATCAGTAATGTATTTTGTGCTGTATAGTGCAAGGCATCAGCAAATTACTATGTAAACTAAGCTTTCCGTTTCTAGCCTTTGCACTGTCCTAATCGTGGCACTCTCTTCCAACTCTAACTCTGCATTCCTGCTGGGGTATGTTTGTTCTGTGTAGATTTGCATTTCATGTAACTTCTGCTTTAATGTTGTGGGTTCCCGCCCCTGATTTATCACCCAGAATATTGTTAGGCTGAAACTGTAGTCACCTGGCTTAGAGCTCTTTTGGTGCTGCCCTGCTCAGTTGTTGTTCTAAATCACCATTTGGCTTCTGTTGCAGCAGGATTTGGAATATTGTGTTCTCTGTTTGCCTTTCAATCACTGGTCTTTAAAGGAAGCGTGTTACATGTTGTAAAATGAAGCTAATATCCTGTAGGAGCTTTGGAGAAACAACTTGTCGAATTGACGTTCTCCATACAAGACCACTAGAACAAAATAATGTGATACTGTAGCCTTAATATAAAACAGTTTTCTAACTCACTGCTATGTGCTCTGTAATCAGATAATGAATAACAGTACTGTGTCTACTGTAAGACATTGAGGAAGTCACTTGTAAGCACAATTTAATACTAGTTTTTTAAATTCAACTTACAAGTGACTTCATGAACCTAAGTCTGTCACATGGTAAGAATTGGTGATTGTTGAATTGTGGATTATATCAGTTTCTGGATTGATGAAGCTTTAAGGAACATAAGATGTAAGGAATATATCAGATGCTGCTTGCTTTTCTTCATGGAGTCACTGATGAGACAAGCTTATGTTCAATTGTCCTCAGGTGACACTTGATTACTTTTCTGCAGAGCACTGAAAATTGGATTTTAGATTTCTTCTGATCTGCAAGTTGTGTCCACCTGCTGCCTACTAGCATGGAGGGTATGCAAGAACAGTACCAGCAATATGCAGTGCATGGCCACACTGAACAGACCTGATTTCTGCAAGATTTTCAGTCCCACCTTAGTTACTGTGAGTCTGTGTATGAAATACCTAGGGCACTTCAACAGACATCAGCCAGTGTTTTGCCTTTTGAGCAATGCAATTGCGTGGAACTTGAAACTGAAAGTTCATTCTGTAGCAACGAAAGCCTATGAATTAATCCTGGGATGTGCATCATTTAACACGTTAGCTAAAGGCGTATGTCACGGTTTAACCCCAGCCGGCAACTCAGCCCTGCACAGCCGCTTGCTCACTACCCCCCAGTGGGATGGGGGAGAGAATCAGAAGAGTAAAAGTGAGAAAACTCATGGCTTGAGATAAAGACAGTTTGATAAGTCAAGCAAAAGCCACGCACGCAAGCAAAGCAAAACAAGGAATTCATTCACTACTTCCCATCGGCAGGCAGGTGTTCAGCCATCTCCAGGAAAGCAGGGCTCCATCACGTGTAATGGTTACTTGGGAAGACAACCACCATCACTCCAAACATCTCCCCTTCCTCCTTCTTTCCCCAGCTTTATATGCTGACCATGATGTCACATGGTGTGGAATATCCCTTTGGTCAGCTGGGGTCAGCTGTGCTGGCTGTGTCCCCTCCCAACTTCTTGTGCACCCCCAGCCTGCTCGCTGGTGGGGTGGGGTGAGAAGCAGAAAAGGCCTTGACTGTGTGTAAGCACTGCTCAGCAGTAATGAAAACATCTCTCTATTATCAACACTGTTTCCAGCAAAAATCCAAAACATAGCCCCATACTAGCTACTATGGAGAAAATTAACTCTATCCCAGCCAAAACCAGCACAGCAGAGAAGACCTGAATATATAATTATTACAGAAATGACGTGAACATCTCTGAAATTTGTCTCTTCATGTTGTATTGCTTAATCTTTGCAGTATCCTTGTTGGTTGAAAGGGAGGATGACATGTTCCTTCGTGTGATCAAATCCCTGCTATTTGGAAATGTTCCACTTGGGGGCCGAGAAAGCTATTCATCTCATAGGCTGCACAGATGTGTAGTGGGGGGTTTTTTGTTTGTTTTGGGTTTTTTTTTTTTTTAAGCTTACATTAGTAAGGGGGAAGGAAATTGCCAAACTGTCTTGGCAGCAGGCCTTGAGTTAGATCACTATCCCCAGAGACACAGGGGTCTTATCCTTTCTGAAGTAAGTTTGTTACTAGAAGTGGGGAGTGGGGAAGGACCTGCTTTTGTATGTGCATTGTAAACCTCTGGGCTAGGATGAGATGAAGCCAATGAATGAGAGATTATATACACAAGGGTGTGACCTGTTTTAATCCAAAAGTGCTCCTGACCCAGTTCATGTGACTGGAGTTAACTGCAATTAACATTTCTGGAGGGGAGTGGCTTTTAACATTTTTGCTTTAATAAAACTGAATATACTTCTTTTTTTTTTTTTTTTTTTAGATTATCTTAAGAGTCAGGCATGTGTGGATAAATTTAGTCTTACTCTTACAAAGCAAAGTTTAGAACCACAAGTTCCTAGCCTATGAATTTAAGAATTACTTAAAGTAACATCAGGAAAAGTAGTTCTTTTTTGTGGGTACTGCATGATGAACCAGACAGGAGGCTGATCTAGGTTGAAATACATTTTTACAAAGTTGTTTTTAATTGAGATCAGTTTCCTTCTTCCCACTCACTGCCTGCTGCACTGATGCTGCAAATAGGATGCTATGAACAAAGGCTCAGGTACTCAAATCGCACTTTCCTTCTCTTCTCCTCCTTTATACTCTGAAATCCTCATTTTTTTTTTTTTTACTAGTCTGTATTACTGAGGGAATACAATGTAAACATAGCTAATGAAAGGCTTTAGATCATGTGTATGCTCTTCAGAGCATTTCATGTATTAATGAAAACCTCATCAAATGTTCTCATATCTCTTCTGAAAATTACAATTTAAGTTGAAAGTTATTCTCTCCCCAGTAGGTGATGCTGGTAGAATAAAATGGGGGTAGAAATGTACTGTATCAATTATACCAAAATAACCTTAAACATTTACTACCCAAGTATTCAATTCATGAAGGTTTTCTTTTAATCCTGAAAAACCACAAACATAGTTTCTGTTGCACTGTCCATCAAACCTGAGGTATGGGTGGTAATGCATGTCAGCTGCTTTCAGCTACTGTTTGTAGTCAGTACAGTTATGTAAGGAGATTTATTTTCTGCTTCTAAATATGGATAATGACCATTTATGCAACTTTCCAAAGAGATAGCAACCCAGGAACAAAAATACTGTGTTGCTAGCAACAGATCTTGGTCATCAGATGGTGTTGTCAGAGAAAAACCTGATACACTTCTTCGTAATCTGTGCTAGTGGTAATGCATTAAGTTCCTTTAAAAAGAAAATGAACCACAAAATACCGTAATCTAGGATGGGAAATTGGAGGGAGAGAAAAGGTAGATGGATTTTGTTATGCCCATGTCTGCTGTGGGACACAAGAGCTGACTTCAGGCATTGCCTCTCACAAGTGGTGAAACCAAAATCCTGCTTTGTTGAAATTTCCCAGAAATAAAACTGAAACATCCCTATAAAGCTTCTTGTCACTAGGAGGTATTTAAAAATGCTAAACTTAGTTTTAGTCCAAACATGTAACAAGATACACGTGTATGTAGTGTGAGGAAAAAAAATCTTAGGCTTCTGGCTTCTGCCCAGCTGGTCTGATTCTGGTGCATGATAGGTTGTCATTGTGTAATTGGGTTGAGCTAGTATGATCTGTGTAAATGTTTTTTAGCTATGAATATGGAAGAGGGTGGGTTCCTGAATTAGCACTGAGTCTCAATAGGAAGATTATTGACATCACCTCCTAACCCGGGAAATGACTAAAGGAAGTTGGAGCCCCTTTCTCACAGCTGTTGCTGATAGCTCAGGCAAATTGGAAAGTTTGAAAAACTTTGAATAACTGTTAAAATTAGATTCACAGTTTTCTAGTTGTGAATTACTTCTATTGAATGCATCAATTTTGTTCTCTCATACAGTACTGGAGCTTTTATTTACCGTGTTAATTTGTCCTGAACCTAAGCACCCCTTACCTCTCCTGGGTTCTTACCCAGTGGTAGACTTCTTTGTTCTGAAAGGCCAATTCCAAATCATTAAAATCTGAACTGTTTTCAGAGTAACTGTTACAATAGCTTGCTCATATTCTGATTTCTTACCCTAACTTTTCAGCTGAAGTTATATGCAGGAATTATGCTAACCACACAGACCTCTATTTATAATGCACGTCTCCTAAAATAACTTTTCTCATTGCCCGTCTGTAATGACTAAAGAGTTGGTGCAGAATGTGATATTACTACTGCTCCTTTTCCCATTGAATCTTCTGTGACCTTTCTAAGTATCATTTTTGTAGAATCATAGAATCATTTAGGTTGGAAAAGACCTTTAAGATCATCAAGTCCAACCATTAACCTAACACTAAAGTCCACCACTAAACCAATTAGAGGTAGAGTAATAATTAATTTCATGTTTCCTGGCTTGGTGGCTGGATTGATTTTTTTAATGAAAGTAAAACTAGGAATCACTAAGGTTGGAAAGGATCTCTAAGATCATCAGTCCAACTGTCAACACAACACCACCATGCCTACTAAACCATGTCCCAGAGTGCCACATCTGCCCGTTTTTTGAACACCTCCAGGGAGTGACTCCACCACTAATATCCAATCTAAACCTCCCCTGACGCAACTTGAGCCCATTTCCTCTCATCCTATTGCTAGTTACTTGGGAGAAGAGACCAACACCCACCTCACTACACCCTCCTTTCAGGTAGTTGTAGAGAGCAATAAGGCATCCCTTGAGCCTCCTCTTCTCCAGACTAAACAACCCCAGTTCCCTCAGCTGCTCCTCATAAGGCCTGTGCTCCAGACCCTTCACCAGCTTCGTTGCCCTTCTCTGAACACGCTCCAGCACCTCAATGTCTTTCTTGTATTGAGGGGCCCAAAACTGGACACAGTATTCCAGGTGCGGCCTCACCAGCGCCGAGTAAAGGGAGCAAATCACCTCCCTGCTCCTGCTGGCCACACTATTCCTGACACAAGCCAGGATGCTGTTGGCCTTCTTGGCCACCTGGGCACACTGCTGGCTCATGTTCAGCTGGCTGTCAACCAACACCCCCAGGTCCTTTTTGGCCAGGCAGCTTTCCAGCCACTCTTCCCCAAGCCTGTAGCGTTGCATGGGGTTGTTGTGACCCAAGTGCAGGACCCGGCACTTGGCCTTGTTAAACCTCATCCAGTTGGCCTCGGCCCATCGGTCCAGCCTGTCCAGGTCCCTCTGCAGGGCCTTCCTACCCTTGAGCAGATTGACACTCCCGTCCAACTATTGTAGAAATATTTTATTTTAGAAAATAGTGTCATTGGCAGAGAAATCTATCTTGTTTTGTGCTGTTCACAAACCATGGTTTTCTCAAGCAGCTCAGGCATCCCCTGAGTTAACATCTGAAAACATAAATATCATGTATGCTGTAAAACTGCAGTGAATACTCAGGTCCATGATTTCAGATGATTCTTTGATATTCTGTTTCTCCGACACGTTCAGATTACAGTTCTGCCTGGGTCCCTTTCTCCCTTGAGAGGGTATCAGTCATCGTTCTCTAGTGATACTAAATTTTCCTTACAGGCACTTTTTCTAGGCTGTTTAAAATCTGTAGTGGAGGCTTATATTTTACTTTCTAATACTCAGGAGAAACAAATAAGATTGGAGTCATGATACAGACTCCTGCAAATTTGGAATAAATAATGTTATATTCCTGCTTATGCTCTTTCATCATGTCTGACTTTCAAGAACAAACAGAAGAAACCGCATTCCTTTATGTTGTCCTTGATGCTCTTCTCAGGATTTACTAAATGTAATATGTATTCCTTAAGTACGAAAAGTTTAAAGATAGGTAGCAATATAATACAAAGTAACATCAGACTTTTCATTTTCTTTACTCCAGGGAAAATATTTATCCCCAAGCAAAAGCCTGTACAGTCTTACACAGAAGAAAAACTCTCTCTGGATCCAGAATTGGAGGAAGCCTTGACCAGTGCCACAGACACAGAATTGGGTGACCTTGCAGGTTAGTTTTTTTGAAGTATGAATGGGCTGGTGCATATTTAGACAAGAAAGATCTATAATTAATATGGTAGTGTGTTTGTTTTCTGAAATGTGACTATATGAAGTTGTAGTTGTGATAGACACTAGAACATGTTATATGCCAGTTTGGTTGTAGCGTATCATCTGTGTTGATTTGTGATAATTTATAGGAAGGTAGATTATTTTGGCCTGCATAAGATACCTGATTTTCAAACTCAAAACCTTTAAGTTCATTCCTCAGACTGGTTGGTTTCTGTTGTGTACACCACCGCTTTTTCTTGCATGTAAGAATGTGTTGCTATGTGCCTGTATTCTTAAAGCTTCAGTCAAGAATTCTGTGACTGAACTGCACTTGTAACTTTGCTTGAACCTGGTGAGGTCAAATGTTTCTAAGATGTGAAGGCCAGCTAAAAAGTCTGTAATTAATTTTTTTTTTTCTACTTTAAATTATTAAGAGATAGAATGGCTTATTGTACTGATAACTGGGTGTTTTACAAACATCAGTTAGTATGTAAAGGAACTCTGCATCTGAGCTGAATTGTTCAGGAACAGTAAAATTGCTTTTTTGC